AGTCCTGGACCTGGTGGCTTGCTTTCTCACTTCCTCTCTCTCTCTCTCTCTCTCACCCTCTTGTCTCTCTCTGGTCAAATTAAAAATCAATGAATGAATGAATAAATAATAAAATAGTTATTTTTAAAAAAAGATAAAAAACAATACCGAGAAACCTGTGGGGAGGGGCACTAGGTAGTACGGTAGTTAAGGTGCTGGTCTCCCACATGGTCGACTGCGGTTCAAGGCCCAGACCTGGTGGCTTGCATTCTCATTTTTCCTCCCTCTCTGCTCAAATTAAAAAATAATATTAAAAACAAGTGGTACAGACAGGTGGTACAGAGAGTTCTGATACCCAAGTCAGGCAGGTAACATTACTGATACTTTTCCCTGTGCGAGTCAAGGCCCTAAGATGAATGAATGGCGACCCGGGTGGCGGAAGTATTACGGGACCCTTAGAGAGGGTGCTCATTAATACTCTTCCCAACGCCTGCACTCAAGACCCTGCCTTCTATGTGCCCTCTTCCCTTCCTGGGATATGGCAGACTTTGCTTCTGTCTTCATCCATTTTCAGACACCACCCCGTCTCTTTCTCTCTTTAGAGAGCTCTGCTCCAGAAGGCCCGGAGTCAGCCTTCTCCGATGCTGCAGCTGCCTGTGTCTGGGGGCTGCCCGGGTCCCCCATGGTGCGCTACAGCAGCGGGGCACAGGGCTCCACCCTTTCCTTCCCACCTGGGGTTCCGGCTCCGGCGGCTGTGTCTCAGCGGCCGTCCCCATCAGGGCCTCCTCCGCGCTGCTCAGTACCTGGCTGCCCCCACCCGCGCCGGTATGCGTGCTCCCGCACTGGCCAGGCGCTCTGCAGCCTTCAGTGCTACCGCATCAATCTGCAGATGCGGCTGGGAGGCCCCGAGGGCCCCTTATCCCCCCTTTTAGCTACTTAAGGCCCTTGCCTCCTCCGGACTCTGCCCTCTTCCATGCCCGTTTTCAGTCTTTCCCATCCTATTAAATTTCATCTTGTGCCTCGACTTGTACGGAATTGGGGGAGTGGTATGGGCACGCCTCTCTGGTACACACGTATTTCCCCCGCTGTGGCTCGTGCCGACTCTTGGGGCTTCGGAACAACCACAGGAAAACTGCCAGGTCTGCACCCAGACTCGGGCAGGCTTTTGGGACCTCGCCTCTTCCCTCTGGATTACCTGGCGTGGTCCGGCAGTTGGCGTCACCCGGAAAAAGTGATTCAAGCCAATCAGCGGGGACTTTGCTCTTCTGTCCAGCTATTCATTGGTTGTTAAACCGAAGCCAGTTCTGTTATCGGTATTGGCTATTGTCGCTGTCAGTCAAGCCTTCGGTCGAACCTTACCCCACTCTTTGTCTGTGCAAGCCCTTGTTGTCTGGGAGAGTGGCGGAGGTGCTGCTGCTGATTGGTTACAGTGTGATGGCTCTGGTCTGCCCCCATTGGCTCGTCCGTCAAAGCGCGGTTCTGATTGTTTAAATAGAGCAGTCAGGGCTCTAGTTGGCAGAGCTCTCCCCGGATGGAAGCTCCGGCCACGGAGTGATGGTGGCGGCAGCGAAGATGGGCCGGGCAGGGACCATGGCGGTGGCGGCAGAGGTGGCAGGGGCGGGGCGGCTGGCAGTAGAGGAGGCTGTGGTCTTCAGGGGGCTGTAGGTGGAGGCATGGCTCGGGCCAGCAGCGGGAACGGCCGCGAGGGGGGCCGGGGGGCGCC